ATAATAGGCACACGAATCATTTTGAATATCGATTTTATGCAATAAGGTCTTCATCAACGTTTTTTCATGTTTTTCAATCAACCTTAACTCAGTATAGTTATGCATTGCACAATTTTCAACTTATTAAAGAGCGTGCAAAAAGAGATTGAAAGCATACAGCTGCATACGCTGGCACGAAATTGTCTGTACGGCATTGTCTGCATAGTCTAGTCGCTTATAATATATCGGATTTTGCGAAAATATGAAAACTTAACCTAACAGTCGCGGTTTCTGGTTAAGTGAATAATTTTAGTGTCTTTTATTTGTACGTGAAATTTAAGATCTTTTAGAGAAAAAATACAGTATGTTCGTACGTGAGCATGCAATATGCACGTAACATTATTATAAATTATAAAAATAAATATATTTAAATAATATTCTTTTTCTGTTTTCTTAAAATTAATTTTGTAAAAATAATAATTATACTTTATATTATCGATTCTGTTACAAGGGAACTTACAGTAACGAACAAAAATTTCAGTCATCTTAGAAAAAGTGGTGTGTTCCAGCTACTTCAGCTTTCTAATAAGCTGGAATGGATGGAAAGCAGATATAGAAAGACTAATTTTTTACCTGCGGACTGTGTACAGTGGTAATAACTAAGGCTAGGATCAGAGGAGAGCAAACGGAGCATTGCCCTTTCTTAGGATAAAGTAAAAAAATTCCGCAAGTGACCGTAAAAGAAATTGAGATATGTAATCTTATATTCTCGACTATGGAACGTTTTGATGCAATGTATTCTATAAACTATTTGTGAAAAATTCAAAAAATTAAATAAAATATTTATTGATGTACGATACTTCTTTGTCTCAAAGCTTTTCTGCGGATGTCCATGGTTAGGACACAGAACCAGAGATGTAGTCGTAAATTAAAAAGTACTAAGGTGCTGTCCGGCGCCCTGAGTTTGAAGCGCCATTGTCTACGAAGTTTTGTAGCTCAAAGTTTCAACTTAGTGGCGCATTACCTGCAAAACGGCTTAAATGTTTCAAAAATAACATATATATTTGTTGAGATATAATCAGCGCAAAAAACTGTTCAAGAAGTAATTTTTTCAGCTTTTTCGCTGAGATACATAGACTACAAATGTTTACGAAGTACAAAGCTTCTTGTTGCTTAAAACAATGTACCGGGACACTGCCCTGGCACGATTACAGCACTGCTTTGGACATAACTATTTATACAATGTTTAGTGCTTATATATCCTTGTATATGTAGCTAGTAGGTNACGTTATCGGTTATAATTTATTTACTATTGCTTTTGAGAAGTGATTTGCATTTATTGTTTTAGTGGAGGTAATATCTTTACAAGTATTCCTCTCCAAAACTAAGAAACAATCTATCAAAATAAAAGGTTTGGCCTTGAATTAAATTTGTTAACTTTAGCAGTGCACTCGCTCCAACTACATATTGTTGAATAGCTTCCGGAAATGTTCCCTTTCCTTGGTAAAACCATGTAACACAATACAGGAGATGAAAATACAAATAATTTTAAACAGGATTTGGCTTTCCTTCTACAAATTGTTTCAGGAGGATAAAAGGGGCAAGCCTATTGCATAATAGAATGAAATAATATTTATTCAATTCTTTGCATAACGATTAGGAAAATTGTGATGTTTCAATATCTTTACGGTTAAGATATACCATTATATCAAACGTTTTAAAACGGAAGAGTACTGTATTAAAAAAAAATCTTTACCACAATTATAATTTGTCCCATTATAAGCATTCAGGACGGATTGGTAATACATGGGGAGGGTTTTCTACGGGAAAATACCCTTATTTAGGTGTCAGATAAGTGAAAATTGGGCCCACCAGTGGTCAAGCGGTTTCGTTTCCTGAACAAGGTCGTGGGTTCCCGCCTTGCCAGGACGGGCTGACCACGTGGCGTTTTCGGGTTTTCTCCACGTCTGAATAAGGGCCATTTACCCTTAAGACCTCCCTGAAGGCATCCCCGAGGCAGATCGCCCAAATATTGCGTTGTGACAACTTAATAAAACAAACAAACGAAGATAAATATTAAAATTTTTATGATAAATATCATCATTTATATAATATAATTAATCTCTCGAATAATAATTCTCATTTTAATGCATTCTTCTATCTTTAATACGAATTATCTTTTCATTTAATCTACTTTTTGTTCGAATTAAGTATAATTAATGTCCAGAAATTTAATTTCTCTGCAGGTACGAACTACATCTGCTAACCGATCTTTGCTGGATTTACTCTGTGTTTTGCTCATCAAATTTTTTCTTTGGAAATACTACTTTAGGACGGTCCTGTTCAAAACAAATGTAGTGTACTCTTCTAATGTCGAATAGGAATACTCGCAATGAACAATCATTGTCTCATTAGCAGTAACAATCTGTCACTTCTCTTTTATTTGATGATTCTGGTGGACATGGAGTCTTAGAACTGTGAGCTGCAGTTTCTAAATAGCGGTCCTTGTGTTCTTCAACGTCATCGTAATCAGTAGACATGTTTAATATCTTAAAGGTAATAATATTATTATTATTACGTTTAGGATATTAAACATGCCTATTGATTAACTTATTACATCTAGGATATTCGTCTAGGACAAAGATGGCAAACTTTTTTGAGTCCATGTGCCATATAGTATGCATACTTAGCTTTAAAGACGTTTATGCGTGTGAAAGTTTTAGACTTCGAATAACGATATTTAAAGAAATTAAAGGAATGTTCTTTAATTAGAGTAAATGTGAAAAAGCTGATTGGAAAAAAGAATGATCAGGTGATAAACCAAAAGATGATTGAAAAAGACAGATGATAAATCGAAGTCATATGATACGTTACGTATCAGATGATTTCTCCTCACGTGCCACTTTGGTCAAGCGTGCCATAGGTTTTCCCCCTTGGCCGAGGATATCGCTGACCAGCAAACGTGGCAGTCACTATTACAATTTTCGTTGTCATGTAATATGAACCAAACGTTTCCATTGATGCAACTTGTTGAGAGCGTGGTTCTATCACTGTTATCGTTACTAAATCTACTTCTAGTATTTGTTGCTGAAATACACATGTAAGCCCACTTATAGTATTTTGTGAATCTCTTTTCTTATTATAAACCTCTCTCACAGGATGATGGTTTTGTTTAGAGGCCAAAATCATGGCGGATTCTTATTCCACGCCCTGAAATCATAAAAAACTGTTTATAACTTAATTTCATCCGACAGACCTCTAAGCTCGGTTATAATCTTCAGGTCTTCAGTTATTAATATCAAGTTTCGATTTATCGTACAATTTATATCGCCTCTGAAATTGGCAGTTAATCGAGTTTGGTATTAAATTGAAGTATTTCAAACGATATAATATACATATACTGTATATAAACGATATATACATACATCGTTTGAAATAATATATAGGCCTATATATATTAGGGTGTCCCTTATTTTTCGAATATTTTTTTCTAACGCATATGGCCTAGTTTTGCTTATTTTACCCTTAAATACTCGAACAATAAATTTCAGCTCAATTTGGTCACTAGAACCCGTGCCGACTTGCATCGAATCACATCCATATATATTGCGCTAGAAAAGTGGCGCGTATTCGCTTTGTTCGCCATTCTAACACGACTTGTCGGGCTATTAACTCATATAGTTTTATTTTTCGAAAATGTTAGTGGAATTACGAAGCGCCAAAAAAACATATTTTCTTAGTCTGAGAGATAAACCACCAAACCACGGGTGCAAAATTACCGCTATATCGGAAAGTACTCGCAGTTTTGTTTTTTAACATTCGCTAAATTTAAATTTTTTTTGAATATCGGAATATCGGGGCTGTTAGTAACTTGGTGGATTTTTATTTCAAACACACTTCTTAAAACTAGTTCATACATATGATGGCGACAAGCGAAGAGTAACAGCCCTCTTTCTAGTTTTTGTTTTAATAGCACACAAGCTCCATTTAAGCGATCCGTGCCACAACACATTATTTGTATAGTACCTTGTCATTTAAATTCCACTTAAACTGATTTGGCTTGGTGTTTACCAGAACTGTCCAGTATTGGTACGGCAAGCAGTTGTTCCCTCTCTTCAAATGAAATAAGAATCGGTAGGCGCTCTTCTTTAGAACTTCTAACGTTCAAGCCAGGTAACAATTTGCCATCCCAATGAACGGTAACTACTTCTGGCACATCATCCTGAAAATCGGATTTTATGGCTTCTACTCTGTCCTTTCTCACTTGTATCTGAATCCGTTGATGTGAAGATTTGTTGATTGGAAATTCATCAATACGAAGCACTAGTGCTTCCACTGTAGCGTGAAGAATATAAACGTAATCTCTAATGCTCAACTGGCATCTGTATAAAGCTTCAACTAGTTTAGGTGTAATGAAATCCATTCTTCCTCTTTTTACATTTGCTTCAGACGGCACAGTATTCAATTCCTGAGAAAAAAACTTATCTAGACTGTTGTCAGAGCTATAAGAACTGTCGTATTATTCCTGGAGTAGTGATAAATCGTACAATATTGAAGAAGTCGATGCAGCCTTCATAGAAATATATTTGATCTTTTTTCTCTCTACTTCTATTTTTCTTTGCCTCACCCTTTCTTCTTTTTCGGCCAATTTTTATCTATACCTGCCAAGCAGCCCGGACGCCCCGGCTCTCTCTGTTTGTGTAAGAATTTTTTATCTTCTTCTATTGTCATACGTTCGAGGGCATCGGCGTGTGCGATAACAAATAAGTCATTTAAATCTATTTGGAAAGTTTTCTCGCAGCGCTTATAAACATCTTGAGTTTTCTTATTGTTTTTTTGCAACTCTCCCCATACGTGTTAATGATCCATCAATTTCTTGACACAGTTAGGTATAGATTTTGAAGTTATTCTAGCTTTTTCCCAAAATATGATACACTCGCGTATTACAAGATTTGCGCTTTCACTCACAGTTAATTTAACTTCGCAAATGTTAAAAAACAAAGCCGCGAGTACTTGCCGAAATGACGGTAATTTTGCACCAGTGATTTGGTGGTTTATCTCTCCGACTAAGAAAATGTGTTTTTTAGCGCTTCGTAATTCCGCTGACATCTTCGAAAAATAAAACTATATGTTTTAATAGCCCGACAAGTTGTGTTAGAATGGCGAACACAGGGAATACGCGCCACTTTTCTAGCGCAATATGTATGGACGTGATTCGATGCAAGTCGGCACGGGTTGTAGTGATCAAAATGAGCTGAAATTTATTGTTCGAGTATTTAAGGGTAAAATAAACAAAACTAGGCCATATGCGTTAGAAAAAAAATATTCGAAAAATAAGGGACACCCTAATATATAGGTTATATATTGTTATACTATATAAGCCTATATCATATTACTATGATACTATATACTTCACGATGATAATAATAATACTGTTCATAATAAATAGTAACGAGACACTTAATTTAGTGATAAAATGTCATTTACAACGTAAAATTCTACATTTAATAACTCATGGATAATGAGAGTTCTGAAGTACAGTATTTACAGACAAATTCCATTCAGACGCGCTTTATAAGGATGACACTTTTTCGAAAGACTACATCGAGGTTTAACTATATATAAATCCCTAAAAGAGTGAGGAAATAAATCATACAAACTGTTTAAATTCGATTAATTTAAAAGTATAAATTTTCTACNGTTAGTTAAAATTTAATTTTGTTTGCATTCAAAATATAAATCAAACTTAACTTATTTCTTTAACATAAAAATTATACTTAAGTCTTTTACATTAGGATAGAGTTTGTTTTTGTTTTTTCAATTTTTTAACTATGTGGGCACTCTAAGAGGGATTTTCTCCCAGGCCCATCTTGAGTTGGACCAGGCCACAATGTGGACAGCCAGATGATGTGAAACAGAATCTGACATAACTAGGATTCATTCCTGAAAAATTTTTGAGGTTCTTGAGTCCCCAGATTCATAGGTTGATGCCTTTGTTACTTCTACCATCCAGCTGTCTTGTTAGGGTAATTGATTTCATGAAATTGAATCTATGACTAAAATAATTTATTTAAATTGCTTTTGAATCCTAAGACTCATCTTCAGATTAAAAAAAAATACATACAAAAGCATTGTATTTGAGAGAAAAAACTTTTTTATTAACCTTTTTAAGCATTATTGTGCTCATCATTAGGATATGTTGCTTAAGTTTAAAATTTACAAACTTATAATAGGTTAACCTGAAGATGCAGTAATCATGGTAGTATATTGGCATGTATATATTTATTGATGTATATATATATTAAATGTAAAATTTTTTTATTCCTGAAATGCTTATTTATAGTTTATTTAGAAATAATTAATTATAATGCATCTTCAGAAACCAAGAAAACCAAGTAAATGTAAATATAGTTTAAACTGCTTTTCTTAGAATGAAAATTTTTTAGAAATGTAATCTGATGATGGCTAGATGGTTAAGGTGATAAAGGCACCAGCCTGTTAATCTGAGTGACCTGTATTTGAGTCTGAGCTGAAAGAAATTTTTATGGATGATTAGTTATGTCAAGTCCCATCCTTCACCACTTGGCTATTCCCATTTCAGGACTGGCTGAATCCACAATAGGTGTTAAAAAGGCTTCTTAGTGCCTGCACGACAGTTAAAGTTAAATTTAAAAAGTAATTTGGATATATTTTTTGAGTTATTTTTTCTTGTTATTAGCACATATATGTTTTTCTCAAAGCTTTTGCTTTGAGAAAAACAGTTAAACAGTAATTTTCTCAGAATAAGAATAAAGCCAATGTACTGGATCTTGAATGTGTATCATTCTATTACTTTAGCTAAATGCCAAAGCTATTGAAGCAGTAATAAGTAACAAAATAGAACAGAATAAAAAGTTTGGAAATTCAAACATCACATCATTATTGTTGTATGATGTTTTTTGTAAACTTATGAACATCACTTCTATCCTTATTCTGGGAATATAGATTTATTTATGAGAGTCTTCCTTAACAAGTATATTACCCAAATGAACACATTATGTTATAATTTTAAATATTGTTTAACGAATGATGTGCTTGCAACCAGAGCCGTTGCAATACATTTGCAACTGGGTAAGTCCCAAAGACACAAGGCGTAGGGACGTCAATCGCCCCTACGCTTCGTAAAAATTTATGAGCTGAGGACTGAAAAAGAAAATATCAGGCGCCCTTTGTCATACATAATTCGTGCCGTCCCAATGTATTTTTGCGATTCCTCGTCAGCGCACGGCGACGCTGCATACCGGCCTGATGGATGAACCTAAGAGCTGGTGCCGAGAATTATCGTTTCTTATGAATATTTAAAAATTTGTAGCTCCTTATATATCTGAACATCGGAGTTGTAGGTACCTGTACATAATTCAGGCTCAAGCTGTGCATACTGAATATTTTATTTTGAAGTTATGTTTTGTTTTCCTACAATAAATTATTATTTGCAATTAAATTATTTTTTACGATACAAGTCTTCATAATTCTGCTACTAAAATAAAATAAATTAAAAAGGAGCACCAGTTTATATATTTGCCAAGGGTGACAAAAGATTTGTTACGTCTCTGCTTGCAACAATCAGTTAAGTATATTAGTAGGTAATCAGCACTAAGGTAGTTTGTAGCCTAAATTTTAGTATGACAAATATAGCATCGACGTTTCATTATTTGCAATTTTATTAATTTGATATTTTATTGTGTTTAGCCGCAACTGATTAAACAATTGATATTGATTGAGGCATCTCCATTGAGATATCCAGAAAACGAAATTAGTAGAATAGGCCATATTACATTTCACATGTTTCGAGCTATGCTTTTCGTTAGAAAAACTAACTCTTTCAGAAAGGCTAGAGAGATATTTGAAGAATATTTTCAAGATAAAATAGAGGTAAGGTTTATTTTGTAAAATATCTTTCGATATAGCGAGTTTTTCGTTTCAAAAATCGAATTATTTCAAAAAATGATGGAATTTACAGATTATACTCAAAGCAGATTTATTATTATGCAGGAGAACAGGAGGTAAAGCGTGCTCTTTTGCCCTTTATAGGACTGTTTTTTCCCAATTTTTTTTCAACAAATAAAATACGTAGAGTATTTCTTTATTAATGAAAGGCAATTTTTAGTAAAAATAAAAAGACACAGTCGTTCTAAAAATTCTTAGGCGATCACCATTTTATTTTCTTCCATGTTCTAGAACAAACTATAGACAGCCAGACCTTCCTTTGTAGGCTACTCAGCCGTCTAGTTAAAATTGGAAATGGTGAATCTTACGACGTCTTTAAATTTCTTATCCTTGAACTTTAAAGACGTCGTAAGATTCACCATTTCCAATTTTTAAGAAATTTTTAAATTTTAATTGGATAATTTCTGTGTTTTTAAGGAGCGTTTTAACTGGACGGCTGAGTAGCCTACAAAGGAATGTCTGGCTGTCTATAGTTTGCCTAAGAACTTTTAGAACGACTGTGTCTTTTTATTTTTACTAAAAATTTTACCATCCCACGGAATCGCAAAAATTGAAAAAAAAGAAAGGCAATTTTATAGATTTTATTTTATAAACTTTAATTTATGGGAATATGAACCATTACAGGCCTCCTACGTTTTCTCTGGCCCAAAGAAAAATCCTCATCTCCTCTTCTCGACGATCTTGATATAGTCTATATATATTTTTTATATGTTCACAAACTATCACAAGTATCTTTTAGAAGTTTAAGAAAATATTTTGTGAAAATGCTTATTTCTAAATCATTTTAACAAGTTAAAAAGTTGGAAACCATACGGAAGTTTCTCTCGTTTTCTAATTTTAGATTCCGGCACTTCGTGATATAATTCTGTCGAATCTACGAGAAGATACTTTTGGTATAAACTGGAAACTAAATTTGAAAGTGATGGAAATATCTGTAATTCTGGATAAAATTTTTGAAAAAATCTATCCATTACACGGCGTTTATGACGGTAGAACTTTAGTGATTCACACCTCTACCTCTGAATCAATCGCGTAAGTATTCTTGTTTTACTAATGTAACAATGATTAATTCATTCCAGTATAACCACGAATAATAAGTCATTGCATTTAATTTGATTAATATTATATTTATTCCGTATTACGTCTAAGTAACTTAATAAAACAAAAATAACTTTTTCTAACGTGGAAGTAAACAAAAGAATTATAATAATAATTCAATAAATGCAAAAGAAAGACGAAAGATGACTAAGTCATTTTCAAATATAGTAAAACTTGGCGTGGGCGTCTGCAAAAAATTTTCCAGTTGGGCAAAACTTGGAGATGAATAATTACATCAATAAATTTTAATTTTTTTGGGATTTTTCACAAGTAGATTATACAGTTCAGTACAGTAGTGCGTCGAGGTGTCTCGTGATAGAGGGCGTAAGGATCCATATTTCAATCACTTTTACGATTATAATTTGCGAAATATTGTACTTGATCCCAGGAGTCAAGTGCTCCGTTTTCCCTCTCTACAGACGCCCACAGTACCCCGATTATTCGAAGTAATATGGACCGATGCTGCATCGGATAACCGAAAACTCGGAAAAATTGGACGGCCATGGAAATTTCGGATTCAAAATTAATAATATAAAAGGTTTATAAGGTATATCACTTTTAAGTTTTTTTTTTTTTAAATACCTTAATGAATTTAACCATATATCACAACTATTTCTACGTTTATTATAAAGCAGGTTCTATATTATTATATGATAGGTACAATAGTTCTAAGAATTAAAATGTGTATTATTTTAGTTACATCTTAACATAAATGGCTTGTTTCAAATTAAAGTTAAATGATAAAAGTTGACCGAAAAAATCATTTTGTAATACCTGTTATCGTTTTAATGGTTCTTTTATAAATTACAGTGTAAAAAAGTAGTGCACTCCCTTAAAAATATCCTTATAATGCCCACAAGAAAGACAGACAACAGCGGGAATTTATAGGCCTACAAGTTTTTCAAACTACAGCTCAATTAGTAAAAAATGTGCCAAACCTCTACAAACTTTTTCATATTCAGATATTTATTACTGATTGTATTAGCATTATCATCCAGTCGATTAGCTCGTATTAATCTAATAAAAGTATTGTTAAATACAAAATTATCACTCAAAAGTATAATCCTTTGAACAGACATAAATAGAAAACATATTATTTGGATTTCTAAAAAAAAAAAAAAAAAAAAATTCGTTAGTCTCACAGTCTTATTGTGTTACAGATGAACAAATAGTTTCGTCCGACAATATTTCTTCTTGTTTTTAATGGATCCTCTGGCTAGATTTTGGATAATATAGTTAAATTTTATGAGTAATTATGTTTAAGTCTACGAACTATTCGTATTTCTTGAATTTAACGATTTACATGATTAATTTTTGTTTATCTTTCAGAACGGATGATTATGGAAGTCTGAAGAAACACTTTCCCAATGCTTCTTTTAAATGCATAGAAAATTGCAGCAATTGGATTCACATGGACAAACCGGACGAACTCAGAAATATTATTTCTGAATACACATCAAGTATTTAGTGGTCTATGGAAGCTCTAAAAATTAAGGTGTTGACGTAGGAAAGGTAGCAAGTGCAAAATTGAAACATTTTGGGTAAGAAAAAATGATTTGCGATCATCTTGTCCGTAACAAGTGATCGCAAATACTAGCAAATTGAAACTGTACACTCTAAATACAAGTAACACCTTAACACTGGGGTAGTTCAATCACTTTACTAAACGTTTTTCGGCTGTATTGATGAGCTGTAGTCAGGTAAACAGTGTTCGAATTCGGAACAACTTGTCATCGAGCATTGAAATATTTCTAAAAATGGAATTATCATCAAAAAATAACTTTTTCTAACTTTTTCTTGATGTTAATAAAAATAAATAAATAAATAGAGGAACCCCTGACGTGGGCTCATCGATAGGGCCAAAAACCTTTAGTAAAATGATTTAACTACCCTAGTGTTTAGGTGTTGTTTGTATTTAGTTGAAAATAAAAGCTGGATTATAATGAATTTCTACTATATACTCTATCTGTGTTGCAAATTTAATTTAAAAAATTAGGAATAATTTTGTCTGTAAATGCCTTCATTATAGCAAATTCAATATGGAAAAAGTCCTATGTGAAATGAGCAATTATTTATTATAACATCGTCACAAAATTTCAATTTTAAATCGTATTTTAATTAATTTAATTTAAAATATATTATCTCTATCCCAAATTAGTAGTAAATTGCCCCTGCACATGACACTTTTATTTTAACAATAGAATCGTGCTGATCATTTATCTAAAACCTTTTAGGGGAAACTTTTTAAAATTGAATTAATATGATTTCCGGTTTGCATCAGAAGTTCGTATATAGGTAATCGGGGCCTTCTTTCCCTAAGGTTTCCATAAGGAAGACAGACAAACGGGCGTCAGTGAGAATTTATAGGTCTACAATTTTTTCAAATTGCAAGTCAACTACTAGCAGCAATTTTTCAACTGTTTCTTTCGTGTTGGGCTACTACTAATCTGTATTAATGGCATTGGCGTTTACTACCTTTGATTAATATATAAAAAATTGAAACGTCGAATTTGTGGTACTTACTACTTTTCCCATGTCAACTTCTCAATTATTTATAGAAATACAATGTATAGATTTATTCAAAAAATGTATAGAAATATGTATACTTTGAAATTAAAATATCTTATAAATGAGAACAATACTTTATGAGAAAAATTATATAAATTCTTATCCCAATTCTAAAATATTTTGAGGCACAACATGGCCGAATGGATAACGCCAATGAACACTTAGTAGCATCTGACTAACACACTCTACTTCAGGATCTCAAAAAGTCCAAAAAAAATGCAAGACGCGTTATTTATCAAATTTTAATTAAATAAATATCAAATTTAGTTTTAAACTCACGACTTTATGAATGTACTTCATAGTTTTTACTTAAATAAGTCGTTCTGCGAAGAGAAGAGATGTGGCAAAGCGTTAAAAATCCGAAATTCTAGTGAAAAAGAAGTAATTTTGAAAAACCTATTTTTAATGAATGAGATAAGTGATTTCATTTTAAGTGTCGCACTGGTCACTTTCACTTTAAACTTGATTGTTGTTGCAGAAGCGACACAATTTCCGAATAAACGACTTTCTCCTCCCAACAAATACAAGCTTACTTGTGATGTATGGAATTGAAGCTGTTGAAGAATTTGTAAAGATCTCTATTCGTTTTTTTTTTAGAAATATTTTCTAGTTAAAATCTCGCGATATTTTCAAACATGTTCCAATTTACACAAAATATATAAAAATAGTATTAAAGTAGACGCATTTAGTGATAATCCTGAATAACAAGTTACAGGGGTCAAACTAGACAATATATTACATCTGTACTTAAACCTTTAGATCAGGGGTGTCCAACCCGCGGCCCGCGGGCCGCATGCGGCCCAAGGCAAGGACCAATGCGGCCCAATAAATATGTAAACAAAATCGACAAATGTTTTAATATTTTTATTATTTATTTATTTCAACGGCATAAATTCAAAAAAAAAAGTTTCACAATGCCGTAAACATTTATTCATATTTTATTTTTGATTGAAAAGAAAATATTTTCAAATACTTGAATACTTGGAGATGTGTGAATGAGGAAGAATTACTAAATAAAGCTGGAGTTGTGACTCAAAGGATTATAGACCCAAATTTGGNATAATTCAATTTTGTGTCAGGTTGGCCTCCACTAGGCCCCCCCATAACAAATCTCTGGCTACGCCCATGATTGTTGCAAGGAACATTTTTTACCTAATAATTTTTAATTCTATTAGTTTGTGATACATAATATATTATTTTTCGGTTATATTAACTAACGTTTTTCTGTACCCCTAAACAATCTATCGCGTACCCCTAGGGGTACGCGTACCACAGGTTGGGAATCGCTGGTTTAGAGAGAAATTTCTCAATGTTGTTATGATGAATAATCACTATAGCTAAAAGCATAATAATTTAAGATAAATGTTAATCAAAAAATATAAAATTTCACATATTTTTATAAGATTTTTTTTCCACTTATATTTAGTAGAATTTAACTCTCCAAAGCCTCTTCAAATGTCTAAAACTGTGATATATATAACCTATGTAAGAGTGCAATCCAAGCACTTAAGAAACACGCCTATATATCCATTCTGTAAGAATAATATTTAATAAATATTTGAGAAAATTGATAAATATATAAATTATTTTAAATAATATCGTATAAATTAAACTATATTTGATTAAATTTTAGATTTTTTAACTATAAAATGAAACGTTTTAATTGCTCTTTAGTAACTTATACTTGTTATTTTGTATGATTAAAATATCATTTGTTACATCTTTATTTATTTTAAGAATAAAAATTTGTATAAAATAAATCACTAAATTGATCATTCTAACTAATGAAAGATCTAAAGTTATATATAAAGACTTAAAAGACATTTTTTGGGTTGAATGAGGGGGGTTTAATTACTCAAAACTTATTTCTTGTATCATATAAAGTGATAAAAAGAATTTAAAATAATATACTTTTAATTTTACAATATACATATTTTTAAATTTTTACTGGCAATTTTAGAGTTGATTTAAGTATTGAACTCCTGATAAACCATTCTGATAATATTTTAAAATTAATTATTCTACAGTATATGATTTAAAGCTATGTATACGCATTTATATATAGTCTATATATTTTTAAAATACAGTCAAACCTCTAAATAACGACCACTGACGACAACATAAAAATGGCCGTTGTTTGGAAGTTATTTTGTATGTTTCGTTGCTTTTTATTAATTAGAGACCCAAATTAAACAAATATTTGTGTTTTTCAAATAAATTTTCGTTTGTCTCTTTTATAATAAATGAATTTATCCATTTCTAAGTAAAAATTGAAAGTGTCTGTAAAAGTAATTTTTTAAAATATCCCTTTTCGTGATAAAGTTTTATTACTTATTATTACAATCTAGACGTGTTAATCCTTAAATATACTTGTATATTGGGCCAGAATTATATTAATATATACTTGTGGCCCAAAACTCCTTGACTTCTTCCAATGCAGCCCAGAGAAACAAAAAGGTTGGACACCCCTGCCGTAAACGAATAAAAACACCTACGAACTGCTTGTTCAAAATAACATTTATGAATGTCGTTATAAGCTGAAGAAATGTTCATAAGCTGTAATTTTTGCATATTTCTATACTCGAATTATTGTACTTTAAAAAATTTTCACGCATAAGATGTTAGACGGATGACCGGGACGACCCTACTGTTAACCCCTACATATTTTTTTCTTACTACCGTGTTTTCGTATTTATTGACTATTGAACACAAGACTGTGTTATTAATTAAACACTTAGCGTTTTTCCTCTTTATTCAGTTGATACGGGTACTTTTACACGTTTCGGGCGCTTAGCCCCTCATCAGTCAACTGATAAGAAAGAACATATACAGTCGACCCCCCTATAACACGGTAGATACGTTCCGTTCTTTATGAATCCATTTTGTACGAGTCCTTGCCAATCACAGCTAGACACGTGTGAAGTTTACGGACTACGGCTGTTTGAAAGGTTTTCTTCCATAAAATTAATCGATTCCTAGACTCAACATTTCCAAAATACGTATATTTTTTGGGGAATAATCCGTATAAACTATGCTATAAACAAAAAATTGTAGGATTACTTACCGAGTGTGCACCGTTCCACGACGCCATTGCTTAAGCTTGTTTTCGTCGCGGAGCAGCGCACCAAACGGCGGCCGCGATTTCTGATAAGTTATTTTTCTGCGAAAACTTCGTTGAACTTTGGAGACATCATTATATAAATAATTTTTATGGCCGTTGAATAAGAAATGTTTCTTTCACAAGAAATGTATAAAATTAGTGCTGTATTA